TTAGCTGCTGATGTGATAAGCTGAGCAAGATAACTATGAGTATTGAATTAATTTAATGACAGAATTGTTTATTAGAACTAAATAGATGGATGTATCGATAACAAGGATATTGCAGGAACACTAATGGATAACTAAACTTGAATCTGTCCATTCCTTTCCTTCTGAATAACAAGGAATATACAAAGAGTCATGGCAGAAATTGATAGTTAAATCAGCAGTAACACATGGTACATTTAATTGCCTTTTGTTTATGGCTGTGATAGCTTTAAAAACATGTTGAAAAAATGTTTGGTTGAGAGTAGGAATGGTTTCATTTGTATTTATAAGATAAAGGGTTATTAGATTTGCAAGTAGATCCCTCATAAGTTATTTTTGTCATTTTTTCAACTGAAGTTTGAATATGTGAATTTAAAACATTTTCATTAAGAAGTTTATGTAGGCCTATTTTTACTGTAGATGGTGTATATTCAATATCAGGTAATCTGTTTTGAAGCTTTAATGATTTTTTTTGTTTTTTCAAAGATGGTGGGTTTTCAGTGTTAGGATTAGGTCTTTTTAGTGGATTTATTGATTTTTTGAATTTTTTGATGGTAAATTTTCAATATCAGAGATTGATCTTTTTACAGAGGACATTTTTAATATGAGATAGCAAAATCGGAGTTTTTTTTATAATTTTATGAATAGTGTGAGTTCAATTAATTAATGGATCAAAAAAAGTGGTATTATTTATATCTCGTTTTGAATATTGTTAATTATTCATAATTATCATTATTTAATTTGGATATTCTAATTCATTATTATTATTATTTCAGATATTAAATAATTACAAAAACAAATAATCGCTTTTTCTAAATCAATGGTATGATCCAATAATAAGTAAAAATGTTTTTTAGCATTTTTAACTAATTAGTTAATAATAAATGTTGCTTTTCTTATAAAGTAAACAAAAAAATCAACTATATGATTTTCATCACCAACTAAATATTAAAACAAAAAAGATGCTTCGCCACCACCAAAAAGCATTCTTAATTAGTAGAACATATGATAAAATAATAAAGAACAATAATTAATTCAATTGTTGAAATTAAAAGCTCTTCTTAAAATGTAAAATAACAAAATCTATTCTTACTAAACAGTTCTCTTCGGTTGGAAAAAGATATTTATTTATTATTGCATGATAAATGTTTATCATATGGAAAAAAGGTGATATATGATTTTCCCAAATTAAAAAAAAATATACTTATGTAAATGATAATAAAAAATTCCGCATTATTATTTAAAAAAAACCACTTTACTAAATAATAACAAGCTCACAACTGGGAATGCAATACGAGCTTTTGCTTTACGTGTTACAAATCATGCACACCATGCTATGCAAGAACAAAAATTCATTTATTTAAAGTTGGGTTTGGGATTGCATCTTTGTCGCAAAGAACAAAAAAATGACATCACTCAGGCAAAGACAGTGGTCTATTTATTAAATCCAAATAGGACAGCAGTCCCCACATTTTTTTTTGAAAAATTTGAGTATTTCATGTAACAAAATCGGATCTTAATCTTTATCACCATCCTCAAAAAATGAAGATCCATTGTTGTTTTTGCTACTTGTTGCTATAATAATAACGCTTCTCATAATCGATGGATCATCATACGTATATATGATAAAATAATAAAAAACAATAATGAATTCAATTATTGAAATTAAATAGCTCTTAATTCTTACCAAACAGTTCTCTTCGGTTGGAAAAAAAGATATTTATTCTATAGCACGATAAATGTTTATCATGTGAAAAAAAGGTATTCACATTTCATTGATCAAAGAAAGAAAAAGAATTGCAATTGCAACCTGTTATAAAAAAACAAAACATTTGCTAAATATGGTGAAAACGTTAATCGCGCCAAAAACCGAAAAGACCAGGTGCGGCTAGACGCAAAAGGAGACAATCGGCGAGAAACATGCACGGAAGTCGCACGACTTGCGGGCTTTGGAAGAGATCGTGACACGGCAAATGTTAAATGATTAAAACAGTTTTTTCAAAGAAATTACTCATACTACATAACAAAAAATTTGTTTTTGACTGTTATTTTATAACAAGTTTTATCACATAGACATCAGTTTTTATATGACACTCTTCTATCCATGCTGTAAAAAATGGAATTTCCTCCTCAATTCTCTCACTTTGTTGGCTAATCCTTGTTGTCTAAGTAATTTGACACATGTTTTTTGTTATTGTTTTGGCATCGCCCAAGTTATAATAATACCACACGAAACTAAATTTTCAAATTTTGGAAGGGAAAATTATTTTTCCCCTTCAGTTTCGTTATACATTGCATGCCGTGAATTCCAAAAAAACAAAATCAAATCAAATTTATTCAGTTTTACGTCTAGACCAGCACATCGCCGAAAAGGCGAGATTTCAACAGAGCTTTTGAAAAAGATGAATAATGAATCCGAATACTGTTTCAAAATCCAGAGCCTTACTCTGAATTTTTCATCCCAAAAGTCAAATTAATCTTCTTCGCTTCTGCAAAGAATAATAAGAAAAAGTACATTGCTTTTAAAATCCAATTCTCAATGATAGCGAACCGCCGAGTATTATGCATTAAATATTAAGACGGCTATGTATGATTTTTTTTTTATATATATATATAATTAATGTGTTAAAAAAAATTATCCGTCCAAGTGTTGTTGATAAGTGGCCACGTGATTGAACCAGTTTACGAACAATGAATATAATAATAATAATAATAATAATAATAATAAAAACAAACGAATCTTAATTTTGATATACAAAAATAATAATAGAGTAAGGAATATATAAACAATCATCAAAATCTCACAATTCTATATATTGCAACAAATACATTTTCGCGTGTAACATAAAAAATGAGTTTAGATAAATTGAATAAATTATTAAATAAAAAAATACCTAAAGAAAACAATAGATTGATTAGGTTAAGCAAATCATTAATTGAAACATTAAATATATTAGAAAATTGTGATTGTAAAGATGATATGATTGATGATGATGATGATATGATTGATGATGATGATGATGATGATGATGATGATGATGATATGATTGATGATGATGATGATGATGGCAGTGATGATGATGATCCAATTCAAGTTGACGAACTAATTGATGAATTAAAAAAAATTAAAAGACCATTAAATGAATTAGGAGATGGAAAAATCAACAAATTATGTGCCATGTTAACTGAATTAAATATTGAATTATGTAAATTCCAATGTGATAAATGCCATGAAAAAAAAATAGAAAAGTTAGCTGATCAGTGTGAAAACAAGGAAATGGCAGAAATTCTTTTTAAAGGTGCAATAGATGCACCTACAAATTATCTTGAATATCTTAAATGGATTCCTTTCGATGAATTTAAAAATTACAAATTTTTAGCTAAGGGTGGATTTGGTGAAACTTATAGAGCAACATGGATTTATCATTATAATGTATCTGATAAGAAATATGAAGAAATTGATGTTGTGTTAAAAAAAATATATAATTCAGAAAATAAAATTATAGATATTTTAAATGAGGTGAATTATAATATATATTTTATATCATTATCAAATATCAGCATTAACTCTATTTATTTATTATACTTTTTAGTTAAAAGCTCATCATCAGTTTAGATATTTAAATGGTCTTGTCCATTGTCATGGAATTACAAAGAATCCAGACGGAAAAGATCATATGTTAGTATTTGATTATTTATCTAATGGTAGCTTGCACAATTTTTTATTAAAAAATTTTAAAGAATTTACTTGGCAAGATAAAATTAGTTCACTTCATTTTGTATCATTTGGGTAAGTTTTTTTGTTGTTTAGTTTTTTAAAAAGACATAGAATTTTAAAATTGTATTCTTTATTAATATAACTAGATTAAAAAGCATCCACAATGAAAATTATGTTCATCGCGATTTACATAGTGGTAATATTTTTTCAGCATCCGTTAATGGTCGTATTAATGGTGGCTTAATAGGAGATTTGGGGTTATGTCAACAAATTGTCGAGAAAGATCATCCAGGTGTGGTTTTTGGAGTAATGCCATATTTGGCTCCTGAAGTATTATTATGTAAACCATATACACAAAAATCAGACATTTATAGTTTTGGTATGGTCATGTGGGAATATACAAAAGGTAAAAAACCATTTAATGATAGATCACACAATGAGGATTTAAGAATGAATCTTTTGAATGGGTTGAGGCCCGAAATTACAAAAGATACACCTAAATTTTATGCCGAACTAATGGAAAGATGTTGGGATCCTGATCCTGAAAAGAGACCTACTGCTCAAGAAATTCAAGATTTTTTATATAAACTTACTAACGAAGCTTCTGAAGAAGATAAAGAAATCATTGAATTAGCAGAATCTAGAAGGCAAGAGATAATTAGATCAGGAAAGTATTTACCTGATGAAAAAAGCTCTAAATATCATCCAGGAGCATTCTATATAAGTCGTCCATTAAGCAGTTCAACTCAACAACCAAATGACAATAATTCGGTATCAACTCGGAAATCTTCAATGGGATGTGTTTTAAATGATGATGATGTGTTTATGCCAAAATCTTAAATAATTAAAAGATTTCATTAGAAATCGTCGAACTTTTTATTTATATTCAAGTATTAATATATTATTATTTATTATAATTTTCGATTCTTTATTTATTTTTTTGCAAAATTTTATTATTGAAAAATTTCTACCTAAAGTTCTAAAATATAAAGTTACATTTTGAAACAAACAAGTAGCATAAATGTTGATATAAAATCTGTTACTACAATAGAGATTTTTCTTGTAATGTTTACATGTTGAACGCATTTATATCTTTTAATAAATGAAATATATAATTTTGCAAATTAGCCTTGATGTACTTTGAGGATTGCTAAAACAAATAAAGCAAGCAAGCTTCTTTTTGTCGTAAAGACATAAAATTGCAGCTCCATAATTTTAATTAATTCAATTGAAACAAAGAAAGCAATGATTATCATTCACCATCTTCACAATGAAAAACATCATTGAAATGCATAGACATCCTAACAATGGCCTTTTAATCAAGCAAGGTGTTAAATAATAAGATTTTTACTTTAAAAAATTTTATCTATACATTAAATAATATTGATATTTGAAAAAAAAACTACATTCTAATTTTGTTTATTTGATTTATTAAATTTGTTGCATTCTGGCTGATTTGGTCATTATGATTTTGAAAAGTTACGCATTTAAGATAATCTATGGCTCGATCATAATCTTTTTCATAACCATGTATTCCTTTAAAATGGAAATTACCTAAATTAAGCAAAGCAAACTCATTACCATTTTCAGCAGATAATTGTAAATATTTCTTAAATTCTTTAAGGTTTGCTACTTTGTCTTTATTGTAAATGAGGAATGCATAATTATATTGAGCCTTGGCTATGCCATGGTCAGCTGCAATCTTATGCAATTCGATTGCCTTTTCTATATCTTCTTGACTGGGTTTTCCTGTTCCATTTGCTTTTCCTGTTTCTAAATAATATGCTTTCCAATAAATCGCATTATGATTATTGAGTTCAGCATTTTCACAAAAACATTTCCATGCCTTTTCATAGTCCTTTTCTTTATGAGCCTTCACCCCTTCATCTAATGGTATGGGAGATTCAAAAAAATTTTTTCTAATTCCAACTACTTCAAAATCCGAGTCCTCATCAATATTATAATGCTGAATTTCATCACTTGAAACTTCATCTTTAGCAATAAATTTGGCTACATATTTAATACTTTCAAAACTTTTCCACAATTCTGCCAATTCATCTGTTATTTCAACAAAAGATGGACGGCTATAGGGTGAATGTTCCCAGGCTAATAATAATGAACAATAATTATAAATCATTAAAAAGTTTATTAATGTAATGATTATTTATTACTTTTGCTATCATTTACCTCTATTAATAATTTGAATTAAAACTTGCTGAATTTCTGTATTGTGCACTCCAATCTTTATAGATTCTCTTTGACCACTTAGGACATGATCACTAATACTAGTTACATTCATTTCATTATATGGAATTTGTTGATAAGCAAGCTCCCAAAGAAACATTCCAAAGCTAAATGAATGAACAAATTAATAAATTCAGTTGATAGATTTTTATTCAAAACATTTCTATCTATATTTACCTAAACATTTCACAATAAAGATTATAACGTTGAGTCTTTGATCCTATCTTTTCAGGAGCCATCCAACGAATATAATCATTTAAATCTGATAATATTGTAGTTTCACCAGATAAATTACGACTAAGCTCAAAATTTGAAACTTTTGCACTTCCATTCTCATCGATCTAAAAAGAGTATATGTTGATATGCTTTAATCATACTAATAATATTTTACAAAATAAACATAAATAAAACCTACTAATATATTTTCACATTTAACATTGTGATGTAAAATTTCACCACTATGCATAAATAAAAGTCCTCTAATGACATCATATGATATCTTTAATTTTGTAACCCAGTCAATGTAATGAGTATTGTACAAATCTTTTAAATTGCCTTTTTCAGCCCAGCCAAATATCAAAGCATCATGAGAATTTACATTGGAGATACCATAAAATTTAATAATATATTTGCATTGAATAGCATTTAGTATTGCAAGTTTTGCTTGAAATTTTTTTGATTCAGAGGTATCATCATCCCTTGGATAATTTAAAATATTTTTACATGCTACCTCAACTGTTTTTCTAAGTATTTTTTTAACAATCCTATTATTTGCACCTCTTAAATCTGTAGACTTTCTACAGTTTGATTTTACATCATCTATATCCTTGGGATCAATTTTTGCCAACTTTATTATGGGATTAAATTCCACATTGTCAGATACCAAACATTTATTTAATTTTTTTATTAAAACTAATTCACTATGCTGCATTGTTTCAACATTCTAAACAAGTATGTATATATATATATATATACAGTATATATCAATATATTTTTCAATGCATTCACTTATAAAAAAATAAAAAAAAATCAATATTATACCTCAAGCTTTTCCCATATTTTAGCAAAATAACCCTCTGTGTTATTGTCTTGTTCTCTCATTGTACGATAACTAGAAAGAATTACATTGAATTGTAAATCTGCACAAGCTCCTTCCAAATTTCTAACAAGATCATTATAGCACTTTTTAATGTGGTCAGCATTAATGAATTTTCTAAATCCTCCATAATTTGAAATATCTTTAATAAAAGTTTCAATATTTTTCAAAACAACTTCAAGTCTATTAAATGCTTTAAAATAACTTTCTTTACGAAAATTTTCTTCATTTTCTTCTTTTTCTCTCTCCATTTGTTTTATGGCTACATGTGCCAATTCAACTCTATTAATTAATGCTCTGGAAATTACCTTGTTTTCTTTAATAGTATCGTAAAGTTTAATAATCATTTCACATAAACCACAGATTGCTCCAATTACTGGTGCATAATTGCTAAAAGCATTTCCTGCAGACAGTGCAAGCAGGGAGCCGTTTTTTATCATTTCTGCCGTTGTAGGCGTAGAAATATCATTATATTTATTATCCATACTAAAACACCTTGTTTTTGGTTTTCTATTCGACATTTTGAAAAGTAAAATTTTATTCTTGTGTTCTAAAACCAAAGTTTTTTTAAGAAAAATGGTAACTATAAGGATCTTGACAATTCAATTTTAATTTATAGTGACACAAAAATCACTGCAAATGAACCAGTTTTTGGCTATTATTAAAAAATAACTTAAAATTTCAACAGGAATCTAAACCTCTTATTAATTTAATATCTAGCAGAACATCTGTTGCTTGCAATCATGCCGCAATTTTACGAGGCATGCTTTCATCCATTTTCCAATTAATATTTTGGGCCGATCACTTCGAGGTTAAGTCCTAGTTTTTATGGTTCGAGTATATAGCTCTAAGCCAAAAGCTTTACTAATTTCACTTTTGAACTGCCGCATTTATAGAGACAATAATCCGATACGTTCAACTTCAGTTAAATTAGAAATTAGAAATTTTATAAAAAAATTTCTTTTTGAGTCAGATGATCTTAGCAGATTTTTAGAATAATTATTACACGTAAATTTTATTACGCGCAATAAATTTATGCGCGCATGTTTTTTTTATTTAAAAATAAAAAAAACTCTAATGGTTCATTACAATAAATATGTTTGTTCAGGATATAAATAATGTTAAATAATAGTGTTGAGTACCTAACCGTATATTTAAATGAAAAATATCTTGAAATTTGAAGATAAATTGGATTTTGGATCAGGAATTTTTGATCTGATTGACTATTTTGAAAATACTCTGGGATGTGAAGAGGATTTTAAATAGCTAAATCTCTGGTCAGTCAATAATTATTTGTCAATTGCATCACTCCACTACCATTATTGTCATTATTATTTAATAGGTGTGATTGGCTTACGATATTTTGAAGGTGTAGAAGGTAACAATGTACTGAGACAGAACATCTTGTTATTGCATATTGGAGCAAAAGTATTATTAATTCCATGGCAGCTAATTTCCTTTCCATGTCTAGAAATAATTTGGATGGCTTAGCTTTTATATGATGTCACATTCCAGATCAATAAAGTTTCTAGTGATAATAAGGGATTTTGTTCTTAAATTTATTAATTTATTTACAGTATTGACAAGTATTACTATTGTCAGTGGACCTCAGGATTTCATACAAATGTGATCATTTACCTACAGAAATTGTAAATGTGTAAACACTAATCATTATGTTTCGTTGAAGTTATTTCTTGAAAAAAAAAAAAAAAAGTTATGGTGTAGTTTTTCTTCATTCAAGACATTCCAATATGCTCGCAATTAACATTTCTTGCAGACAATATGCGCAACGTTGATTTGAAAATTTTGAAAATTTTGTTTTTTTTTCAAGAGTTAAGTAGTGTGTGCTAGTGGTCTCAATGCCAATGCAGACAAAAACCAAAGATAAGAGCATTCTTAACTCAGTAACCGCTTATTGAGGATTGAAAATTCAATAATATTCATAATGATCCTTTCAATTCATTTGAAAAAAGGTCTGGGAACATCAGCTCGGCGCTTCCAAATCAGGATTACAAAATTAGGATTGAAAGTGTAATAAATAACTGTCAAAGGTTTGTTCATAATTATGAGTTTTTGATGCATTAATGGCAATTGAATAGGTAGGAAATAATAACATCAGCTGCTTTTTTTTTTTAGAAGAGAATTGTTGTTTTTTAACCATTCAGATGCAAGAATTAAAGAATCATGAAACAATGTTGAAGATTTATTGAAATTAAGAAAGCTTTGATTGCACCAAGTAACAAATTTTTTAGAAATAGAAAGAACTAAATTTTTTACTATAATAAAAAATTTTAAATTCGCTACACAATACATAATATTCACACTCATTAATAAATCAAAAGATAAAATTTTTTGTAAAAAATTTAACAAACGTTACATAATTATGAAGATGTTAATATTCCAATATTTTTACCAGAAATACCAACGTTAAACATTGCTAGTAAATTGGGTAGAGAGCTCTTAATATTAATATATAATATTCTATATTATTCTTTACCTTGATTAGACTCAATATTCAATTATTAAAAAGTATAAACCATCTTGACATAGCATATTTCTTAATGTTATTTTTTTGCATTAACTATTAGATTCACCAAATTTTTGTCATAGTTCTTCTCCAATTGTAGAGTGAACAGAATTAATAATGATAGCAAGGAGCTATATCAGAATTTGATGGTGATGAAGATGGAAGGTTTTTTTTTCCTTTTTCCTTTTGATTTTTATTATCAAAGTTTATTGCCTCAAGTTCTTCATCACTACTTTTGTTATTATTGTTATTGTCTTCTTCCTCAGCCAGATTATTCCACTCTATATCTTTTAAAGTAAGGTGGAATTTGTTGGTAGAACTGTTGTATGTGAATAGTAATAGGGCAATTTGAATTTCACAAATGTGAATTGCGAACGAATTCACATAATTTCATTTTTCACGTACAACAGAATTAAATCTAATTTCCCTAATGGCTTAAAAGATTGAGTATTTGATATTTTTAATAGAAAATCATTAGAACTTGGTTATATAGATTCCAAATATTTTTTTCGTCATCTTCTATATGCAAGATAGCTGGGCCTGTAAATAATAATAATCATTATTTAAACAAGAGAAATCTAAAGATTAAATCGGACTTTAGTAATATTTTCCACCAAATAAAACTTTTTACAAAATAAATCAATGCACCCTTTCTAAAAACCAATTGTAATTGTAATTGTAATTACTAAAAAAAAACCTTTTAATTGAATTTCACAACGTTAGTCAGTTCGTTTTATATAAAGCACTTCCACTCATCGACACTTTTAGTCAAAGAGACAGTTTAATAAAACATGTTGACAAAAAACAGAAGATGCTTTTAGTAATAAAAAGTTATTTTTTTAATAAATTAATAAATTAAGCATTTATCCAGAATCATTCAATATATACTGTAGTTAATTTTATTATATTTTTCCTAATAAATAGATGGAAATACTTTGAATGAAATCCTGAAAACGTTTAGTAAAATCTCTATTTTTTAAAAAATTTTGGCAACTAACTTTAATATTGATTTTGACACAAAATACTAGCCATACCTAAAATAGTAAAAAAACTAATTAATTCTGTTCTTTTTTTATGTTAAGATATTTTATTTTATTTCAAGCCTAAAATATACAATTGTCAAATTATTTTTTTTGTCATAATCATTGAATTTAAAAAAGATAAGAATTATTTTAACTTACAAAATCTTATCTATTTCAACAATAGTAAACTTAAAATTCGATTTATTCATCATTTTTAAAATTGACTCCTCATCCTTAAAATAATAAAATTTAATTAATTAATCTACTATGGTTGGTAAAAAATCATCTCTGAAAAAATACACACCATCTCTTCTTTTAATGTAGTTAAATACCCTTTCATTACTTTTTCTGTTCCTTTAAAATCATTTAACTCTATTAAAGGTTTAAATAAATCTTGAATATCTTTAAAGTCCATTTTTGCCCCACATAGCAATTGACCTGTATATTCATATGCTAATGGTGCATCTACTCCAATATCTACTAAAAAGTTTACTGTTTCTATCAGGCCCTCCTTAAAATCTGATTTCTTAACAATATGATCAGACACTAATTTTTTAAATAGTTTAGTAACATTATGAACATCCTCCTGTTTTTTCTCAAGTACCATGTTTGCAAATTCTTCAATTATTCTTGAATGATACTCTATAGGTAATTCCTTTATACACATTAGTACCTCCTATATATGTTGGTTAAAATATTTTAATAAAAAGTTTAATTTAATAATGAATAGTGAATTTGATCAACACGTACACTAATATCCAAGACTGAAAAATATTCTTCAACCATATTTCGAATTTTTCTTTGAGCAATTTCAATAGACATTGATGACACTGATGTTTTAGCTACTGCATTTATCTCTCCTAGTAGTGGTACAGAGTTTGTGATATTTGTTGTTTTAGGCGGAAGATTACTAACTACATCTTTGGGTGATGATGTTCTAGGAGTCAATATTATTCTTCTTCGTTCTGTAGTCTGTGATAGTTTTAATGTTTCAACTGGATTTTCAATCTCTAAATCATCCAAAATACTATAAATGTCTGCTATTGAATTAATACGGGATGTATTTGTAGATTTTTCTTCTCGTTCTCTATTTTCAACTTTCCACCCGCTTCCAGAAGAAGGTATGAGACTAGTGGGATACAAGCTAACTAATCCAGAAAATTTGCCACGAGAAACAGAACCAAATTTTGATAAATTAATTGGTTTACATGAAGATGGTGCCTCAAGTATGCTCCAACCTTCATTATTAGATTGTAAATTGTTAGGACCATGGGTCTGGGAGCCTTTAAGATAATGGCGCCCAGAACCACTGTGTGATAGTTTTTCCGGCAAACCTCGGCCACCAGAGCTTGCAGTTTGTCTTAATATTTTTGCAGATTCCTTTTTTTGTTTTGCAGCCTAAAAGTGATTTTTAATGATGTAAGCATTTGTGCTTTTACAAACAAATTATTACAAAAAATTAGTAATTACTTACATCCTTATGAATTTCAGAAATAGTTTTTAGTGCATTATTATCATGTCTAGGTATCCATTCATTATTTCTCAAATCAATAACATCCTTATGAATTTCAGAAATAGTTTTTGGTGCATTATTATCATGTCTAGGTATCCATTCATTATTTCTCAAATCAATAACATCCTATTCATTGAAAAATAAAAAAAAATTTATAATATTAATTAAATAAACACATATAAATTTATATTTATATTCATACCTGAAGCATAAATCTTATGCGACTACTAAAGGCTTTGTTTTTAGACATTTCATCCATACGATTAAAGTACACATCCATAGGATTTTTTGCCTTATAATGACCATGATCCAATTGTTTACCAGCAGTTGTTAATAATTTACATAAATTCTCTATTGCTTCTTCTCCTGGAACTTCATTGGCACTTTGGACTTGTAACAACCTTAGTATACAATCATAAATAATAATATGTTTAGTAAGCATGTTCAATTTAAACAGTTCACCAATAAAACACGTCAAACCAAGTCTAGATCTTTTAGCTTTTGTTGAATGATAATATTCATCTGATAAAGGATCTAGATCTCCCCCTTCATTTGATGGAACTGGAATATTGACTTTTAAACCCTTTTCAAAATTTTCTTGACAATGTTTCAACAGAAACTTTCTAAATAAAGCTCCACCCATAACCAACTTTCCATCTTTGTTTTTGACATTTTCATCAGTAACCTCTGGATCAATCCTCTCCATCATTTTTCTGCAAAGCTTAGCATGCATTTGACCAAAGTTGATTTTGTCACATTCATGAAATAATTTTTCAAATGTCAGTTGAATCAGTCGAAGAACTTCCTTGAGAATGCAACAATCTTTTTCAAATTTTGATTTGTTAGCATATTCAATTATTTGGTCTGAAATAACATCAAATTTCTCCAATGTCAACTTATTTAATAATGCTGTCACTTTACGTTGAACCACATCAATTGACACTTGACCTTCAATGACTTTGGGGATGGTTCTTGTGACATGTGTAGGAGGAATCCACCTGTCTTTAGTTTGTTCAAGTGGTTGTATAAAATTATGGTGTGGAAAACCACCATGTGATATTCGTTCTGTCATTTTAAGCATACCTCGGCCACCAGAGCTTTTTTGTTTTGCAGCCTAAAAATGATTTTTAATAATGTAAGCATTTGTACCTTTACAGACAAAATATTACAAATTACTCACATCTTCATGAACTTCAGAAATAGTTTTTGGTGCATTATTATCATGTCTAGGTATCCATTTGTAATTTCTCAAATCAATAACATCCTATTCATTGAAAAATAAAAAAAAATTATAATATTAATTAAATAAACACATATAAATTTATATTTATATTCATACCTGAAGCATAAATCTTATACGACTACTGAAGGCTTTGTTTTTAGACATTTCATCCATACGATTAAAGTACACATCCATAGGATTTTTTGCCTTATCATGACCATGATCCAAATGTTTACCAACAGTTGTTAATAATTTACATAAATTCTCTATTGCTTCTTCTCCTGGAACTTCGTTGGCACTTTGGATTTGTGACAATATACATTCATGTATAGCACGTTCAGTAAACATACCCAATTTAAACAGTTCACCAAGAAAACACATCAAACCAAGTCTAGATCTTTTTGCTTTTGTTGAATAATAATATTCATCTGATAAAAGATCTAATTCTCCTTTTTCATTTGATGGAATTGGAATATTGACTTTTGAAACCTTTTCAAAATCTTCTTGACAATGGTTCAACAGAAACTTTCTAAATAAAGCTCCACCCATAACAAAATTTCCATCATGATTTTTGACATTTTCATCAGTAATCTCTGGATCGATCATCTCCATCATTCTTTTGCAAAGTTGGGCATGCATTTGACCAAAATTGATTTTGTCACATTCATGACATAATTTTTCAAATGTCAGTTGAATCAGTCGAAGAACTTCCTTGAGAATACAACAATCTTTTTCAAATTTTGATTTGTTAGCATATTCAATTATTTGGTCTGAAATAACATCAAATTTCTCCAATGTCAACTTATTTAATAATGCTGTCACTTTACGTTGAACCACATCAATTGACATTTGATCTTCAATAACTTTGGGTATGGTTCTTGTGACATGTGTAGGAGGAACCCACCTGTCTTTAGTATTTGGACCTTGCAGATTTTGTTGATTACTGTTATCCATGCCATATGCAATTTGTTCATTACCTTCTTCTTTATCCAATTTCTTTTGTAATGCCTCCCCTTGCTTCTCTGCATCTTCCCTCCATCCATTCATATTTGCTTTTAAATCCTCTTCTTGTTTTTCTAATGATTTCTTTTCAACTTCCCACATCGCCTTTTCATCATTAGCGAGTTTCTTTCCTGATAGCTTTACCTTCAACTCATCCAACTTCTTCATATTTCCCACCTCTTTGAGCTTTTCTGACTTCATTTTGGAAGTTTCCAATTTCTCTTCTGCTATTTTTAATTTTTCTTCAATTTTTTCGATTGTTGCCATTTTTTTAATATTAATATTAATTGTGAATGAGAGGGTTCATTCATAGATCGGCAACTAATCATTTATGTTGCAACTCTTGGCACACGACTTGGAATTTGTTTGGATTATAATAATAATAAAGCACTTGCACGGGAGGAAAATATTCAGACAAAGCCATTACGAGTATTGCCTATTCTTTGGCATTCTGAGAAAAATCCAACTTTCACTATTACTACTCTTTTGATAATTATTATCAACAATATGTATTATTTTTTGGTATAAGAAATTTTTTTATAAATCATGCTGGTGGAAGGAGATATAAAAGAGAGCCAACGCACACACAAAAAAAAATCTTCAATTGCAATCACCAATTGATTTCTAGCAAATTAAAAGATTTTATATATATTTATCGTTATGATAATTATCAATTTGTTCACGTGAACATTGTTAATTTTGAGACAAAGGTAGTATGGAAAGAAACAAAAATAGTAGAAGGGAATGCATCAATTTTTCTGCAAATAAAGAGAGTTGTTAAATTTATTTTATTTATGAATTGTTAACACCAGTTTGGTCATTAAAGAATGTCCTCCGAATACTATAAAAATTTGGCAATCTCCATTATATGAACTTGAGACCGTTTATGGAGAATTAAATAAATTCCTAAAAAAATATAAATAATTATTAAAAAGTGATTTTTGATTTTACTAGTCTGGTCTTATTTTACAAATAATATTATTCATCAACTGCACCGTACACATTTTCCATGCATTTTATCCAACGTAATATTACATTTGACGATTAATATTAAACCATTCCTTGTGGACTTGATTTGCCGGTAGGAAACTATTTTGAGTTGTAATAATGAGCACCATTGTCTGATAACACTTTGACCATTGTGGTTGTGGATCTAAATTATCAGAAACAGAATCAAATGAAGCTGTTATACTACAAGCATCTTGTTTGTCATAAGTACTCCAATGATCAAATGATACTCACTTTTTTAAAATGTTGTAAACTTGATAATTCGATGTGTATTAGACTTTCCGTTCTATGAATGCATTTGCAATTGTTCCTTGAGGGTGGCTTTTTTACCTCGCAACTAATTGCGTCGAGTCTTCTATTGCTCAATCTTTTTGTTTCCATTTTTTGCATGTCCAATTTTAAACAAATTCTTGGCTACTAAATTATAAATAAATAAATCAGACAAGAATAAAAAAAAATTTTTTGTCGTGAATTGTAAATTAGCTGGCTATCAAATAAAAAAAATTTGCATAAATATATCAAGTTTCGTCATATTACAGTTAGCATATGAAGGGAATTTCGAAATTTTGACTCTTTGACATTTATAACTTTTAATTTTAGTTTTGGCGACCAACACTAATTCCGATACATCTTTTTCCAATTCGGTTCTTAACGCGACTTTAGCATTATCCGGCAATCTTTCATTGATATGATCTAAGATAATATTCATTTAATGACAAAAAATTTTTTTATTCAATCCAATAAAGAATAAAAGAATGACTCCTTTGATTTTAATGTTATTAGTCATTTAATCGAACTTTTTTAATAGTGTTCTGTCTAAGCAAGCCAGCAGGAATCACGACCAGTTTGAGTTCCTATAAAAATAAATGTTAATAATAATAATATTATTATTATTATTATTAATTATAAAATAAAAACAAATGTTTTTTATATAATTCAGATTTTTTTTTTATTCAAGAAATGATGATGTATTATCCGCAAAGAAGTCTAGACGAGCGAGACAACACCAAGTATTATTGATTTAATCGCAACTTAGACTATTTAGCCTTTGTGAATATGTAGGAAATAATTATCTAGCATTGGCGCTATAATGCTAAATATTTATGCAAGAAATTATTGATGCTTAGGTGTTGTTATACCATAGATTTAATAAATATTTGTAAATGCCTCTCTAATTAGAGTCATCGTAAAGGTACAACACGCAAATACCATCTCAAAAGTCAAGAACCGCATATTGCTATCTATGATGGTTCTCCCTCGCAAAATAACGTAAATATATATTGCTGCTACCTTTCTAAACTATTTTGAAACGAGCTTCAAAGAGTTTTGAGAATCTTTTAAAACGAATTTGGATTCCAAAAGGCAACTCTAATTGCAGCATTATATTTTTATACCATCATATATATATATATAAATAAGACAGAATAAAGTATTACCCTCACTCCACTTGAAAGTTTAAAATCTCTTTGTGTTTAAATTTTTATTCTTAGAGACGAGTCCAGAGCGCAAAAGGTACTTGATAATATTAAATTATTATTATTTTGCAGGTTTTCCGGTTTAGAATTGTTTAAAATAATTGTATATATGTATTTAAACCTCACATTCAATGTTAGCAGATATCAAATTTTTTGGTAAATGGATGTCTGAAAATAGAATGTCATTTCCATTCAAAATTCTTTTGCTTTGACTGTCCACAAGATACAAAGATTAAATTTACCTGAGGTATCTCTCAGTCTTGATGCTCAAACATTTGTACCTGGTCAAGCATATGTGGCTCTGAGCCATCGCACTTCTTGGAAAAATGTTAGGATTAATGCACTTGCAAAAGAGGCACTCATCAATGATAAAACAATACGAGAAATTGGAAAAAGCTGCTAGCGAACCTTTACCCTTTATGATATAAAATAAGAGCTTTTTTTGCCCAATAAAAATTCACTGATCATTAATTTTATAAAGATATTATATTTACCATAAAAAAAAAATAACAACAAAAATATAAATACCACCAGTCACATATGATTTTGGAGTATATAGAACTAATTGTCAAGTTTGTTAAATGGCTTCTTGCATATTCTACTTTTCCAAAAATACTAAATGTTGTTTTTTTTATGTTGTGCGTAAATTTTGAAATATTCAGAATTAATAATAAATTTCACATATGTGTAATAGATATTTGAAGATCATTAGTCGCGGCTATGACCAGTCAGCTAGCAACAACGTTAACTACAATTATAAAAAATAAATAGTATTCTTTGTATTTGATTTGTATTTGATTTAAAAATAATTTTTTAAAAATATCTTTACATAGACTTTTATTATTAGTCAGTGATCATTGTCAGTATATCCAGCTATGACTAATGATTTTATACTAGCCGCGGCCAATGACTTTATATCTAGCTGCGACTAGAAATTTTCAAGCCAACTGAACCACGACCAGATTTCAGTCATGAGCCATGACTATATTTCAGCTGTAACCATTATGGCCTTAACATTACTGTAATTAGATATATAGTCGTGACTAATGATATATGACAAAAACTTTGATTTTAGTCATTGACGTAACTAAAGTGTCAACTAAAGGTAGTTTCTCACTAGGGCTATTTTGACGGTTTGACTAAAGTAAAAGCCCTTGGCGTAATTAAAACATTTGACGTAAGTAAAAAAGCTTGATACAAGCAGCGGTAATGATAATGGTAAAATAGGATTATTAAAAATAACAATGCGTGTCCTGGGATGAATAAAGAATTATCATTATTGTATGTATATTGCAAAGACGCAAGAAGAATAATTATCATGGGAGGTTTACAAATGTTATAATTATTATTATTATGAAACAAAATGTCTCCTCTTTTTATTATTCTTTATTAGATTTCATGAAATGAAAAAATCAAACTGTTAATTTGAATTTTGACTTTGAAGTTGACTACGCGTAATAGTAATACGCAATAACATTAGTGATGTGCTTGAGCGTCTGGGCATGAAATATACATAGACTAGTACGTGAGACGACTTTTACATAGTACACGAGACAGATTTAGGTGCGAATATTTGTAATTTTAATTTTGAAGCTTTAAAAGTGATAAAAAAGAATGCTAAAATTCTTTATTGTTGAAGCATTAGAATCACGATGAATTTTTGTTGGTCTCAAAGTTGTTCTTTAAATAATGCAATTTTTATTTATATTAATTTATTAGAGTGAAAAGGGTGCACACTATATACCATGATGACAGCAATAAATAAATAATTATTTATCAACTTAAATGTAATCACTATTTAACTGTCAATCCCCATTAATGCTATTATCATATAAAAATTGTTTGTTACACGCTATTCAATTCTCTACAAAGAAAAATAGGCATTTGAACGAAAACGTAACAGTGAGTTTCGTGAAATACAGATTGGTATTATAGCGCAATGATATTCCTTGATGTCATAACATCATAAAATCACACGACTCAATCGCATACTTGTATATTCGTTCGGAGCATCGAAAATAGCGCCGAATGCAAAGCATCCTAGACCATAAATATTACCAGGAATGCCTAATCATTATGCACAAATGATGCAGAGTGTTGGAATGTAGTCCCATCAAAAAGACCAACCATTAGTGAGCTTTTGGAGCTTGCTATAAATAAACATGAAGAAATTCTTAAAAATAAAAGTTTGAAAAATAATAGTAGTAACAATAACAGTTTATTCAAATTTTCTCAAATCAAAAAAAAACATGAAATTGATTCTAATGATGATGGTGGCTATTCGCAACAAGCACATAAATCACATCCAGATGCATATAATACAAGATAATGAGTTTGCTAAATCTAAAAGCTTAAAAGGTTATACAAGCAATGATGGCTCATTAAACGATCTTGATTTTAACTCTCTTCTCTTAAATGATGAAGGTGAATAAAAATTCATTATTAATTGATTGGAAATTACAATCAATCACTATCAATATTTTTTAATAACTAATAAACATTAGATTCTAGTAATAATAGCAAAAGAAAGGATTGATGAATGACAAATTTAATCTTCACTATAAATTTATTTGTTATTTATCTTTTTATTTTAATCTTTTATTTTATTTCTTAAAGCTAAATTATAATAATAAACTTTTTAAATGGTAGCTTAACTTTTGGGCTATTCTTCTACCTAGAAAGCTTCGACAAATCTAATGGTACCGAATAAATAAAATGCATATTTTACACGTATTTATTTTTATCTGGCTGATCTTGGTTTATTTAAAAAACAACTTGAGCTTG